GATGTCAGAAGAGACTCTGAAACTTGCCCTTGAATGGAGAGTAGCTAAGCAACTGGAAGAAATGACAAGATAAAAGAGCTGAACAGAAGATTTCAAAGACCAGTTCAGAAGACAAAGTCAATTTCTATAGTGAAATGTGCAAAGACCTGGAGTTAGAAAACCAAAAGAGAAGAACATGCTCAGCATTTCTCAAGCTGAAAGAACTGAGGGAAAAATTTAAGCCTCGAGTTGCTGTGTTGAAAAATTCCATGGGCAATATGTTCAATGATGCAGGAAACAAAAGATGGATGGAATACACAGAGTCATTATACCAAAAAGAATTGGTAGATGATCATGATTTCAGGAGGTGGCATATGATCAAGAACCAATAGTATTGAAGGGAGAAGTCAAAGCTACACTGAAGAAATTGGTGAAAAACAAGGCTCTTGGAATTGACAGAATACTCATTGAGATGTTTCAACAAACAGATGCCCCACTGGAGTCACTCACTCAACTATGCTAAGAGATTTGGAAGATAGCTACCTGGCCAACTGACTGGAAGAGATCCATACTATACTTACACACATTCCAAAGAAAGGTGATCCCACAGAAAGTGGAAATGATTGAACAATATCATTGATATCACATGCAAGTAAAATCTTATGAAGATAATTTAAAAATGGTTACAGCAGTATCTTGACAGAGAACTTCCAGAAATGCAAGCTGGATTCAGAAGAGGATGTGGAATGAGAGATGTCATAGCTGATGTCAGATGGATCTTGGCTCAAATCAAAGAATATCAGAAAGATGTTTACTTGTGTTTTATTGACTATGCAAAGACATTTCATTATGTGGATCCTAACAAATTATGGATAACTTTGAGAAGAATGGGAATTCCAGAACACTTAATTGTACTCACAAGGAACCTGTACATAGACCAGGAGGCTGTCATTCGAACAGAACAAAGGGACACTGCATGGTTTAAAATCAGGATGGGAGTGAGTCAGGGTTGTATCCATTTACCATACTTATTCAACTTGCATGCTGAGCAAATAATCTGAGAAACTGGACTATATGAAGAAGAAAGTGGCTTTAGGATTAGAGGAAGACTTATTAACAACCTGTGATATGCAGATGACCTAACTTTGCTTGCTGAAAGTGAGGATGACTTAGAGCACTTACTGATGAAAATTAAAGACCATAGTCTGCAGTATGGATTACACCTCAACATAAAGAAAACAAAAATCCTAACAACTGGACCAATAAACAACATCACAATAGACAGAGAAAAGATTGAAATTGTCAAAGACTTCATATTACTTGTTTCTACAATCAAAACCAATGGAAGCAGCAATCAAGACATCAAAAGATGTATTGCCTTGGGAAAATCTGCTGCAAAAGACCTTTTTCAAGTGCTAAAGAGGAAGGATATCTCCTTGAAGACTAGGATGCCCTGAACCTAAGCCATGGTATTTTCAATAGCCTCATAGGCATGTGAGAGATGGACAATGAATAAGGAAGATCGAAGAAGAGTTGATGTCTTTGAGTTGTGTTGGCGAAGAATGCTGAAAGTACCATGGACTGGTAAAAGGACTAATAAATCTTTCCTGGAAGAAGTGCAGCAGGAATGCTCTTCGGAAGCAAGAATGGCCAGACTTCGTCTCACCTACTTTGGTCATGTTGTCAGAAGGGACCATTCTCTGGAGAAGGATGTCACACTTGGTAAAATGGAAGGTAAACAAAAAAGGGGAAGGCTCTCAATGAGATGGATAGACACAGTGCCTGCAGCCATGGGCTCAGGTGTAGTAGGGATAGTGAGGCTGGCACAGGACCAGGCAGTGTTTTGTTCTGTTGTACATAAGGTTACTATGAGTCAGAGATGACTCAATGGCACATAACAACAACAAAAACAACATGCCATACCCATTTCCCAATCTATATACAAAGTCTGGAAGGTGAGAGAGGAGAGAGGAGTGTCTACAATGTCTTCATCTTTTGGGGAAGTGAAGTGTTTGAGCTGGACGCAAAATTCTACCCCAGAGATTCCTTCCCATGCCAAAATCAGAGAGATAATCAAAAGTAGGGTAGAATGAAATTCCGTTCTCCCTTTCGACACTTTTCATAGCTTAAATTTATATTTTTAAAACTGGAAATTAAGAAGCATTTTAGTAAGTATTATAGGATCAAGTTATTGCCAATACAGTTCCAATGAAAAGAAATACAACTTCAAATAAGTTAATGTATATATTCTGTACCCTAAGCACACTGTCAAGAAAATAATACCTCACAATACAGAAATAAATATATGGTAGGTGCTATTTGTTTGAAAATTTCTATACTAAAAAAATAGATCCAAATGTGAATAACAGCAGCTTAAAGGAGGCCATGTGTTATCACAAACAACCATGTTGTCTTTAGGTGCCATCAAGTCGGCTCCAACTCATAGCAACCCTGTATATAACAGAATGAAACACTGTCCAGTCCTAAGCCAGCCTCACAATCCTTGCTATGCATTAGCTCATTGTTCTGTCACTGTTTCAGTCCATCTAGTTGAGGGCCTTCCCTTTTCTCATTGACCCTCCACTTTACCAAACATGGTAGCCTTCTCCAGGGAATGGTCCCTTCTGACAGCATGACCGAAGTAGGTGAGACAAAGTTTGACCATTCTTCCTTCCAAGGAACGTTGAGCCTGCACTTCTTCCAGGACAGATTTGTTGATTCTTTTGGCAGTCCACAGCACTTTCAATATTCTTCTCCAACACCATAAAGCAAAACCATCATTTCTTCTTTGGTCTTCCTTATTTGTTCTCCAGCTTTCACATGCTTATGAAGTGACTGAAAACACCATGGCTTGGGTTAGGTGCACCTTAGTCTTCAAAGTGACATCTTTGCTGTTCAGTACTTTAAAGAGATCTTTTGCACTAGATTTACCCAGTGCAATATGCCATCTGATTTCTTGACTGCTGCTTCCATTGGTGTTGATTGTAGAACCAAGTAATACGAAATCTTTGACAACTTCAGTCTTCTCTCCATTTATCATGATGCTACTTATTGGTCCACTTGTGAGGATTTTCATTTTCTTTATGTTGAGGTGTAATCCATACTGCAGACTGTAGTCTTTAATCTTCATCAGTAAGTGTTTCAAGTCATCTTCAATGTTTCGGGGCTATCCATGAAGTTTTCCAGTGGTATATCAGACAGTGTTTCACTGCTATTCATAAGGTTTTCACTGGCCAATTTTTTGGGGAAGTGAATGGCCACTTCCTTCTTCCAAGTCTTAATAAGCACTTTTAGGAATATGATGTCTAGGAGAAGATACCTTTGGGATAATTCATTAGTAATCTTTGAAATTATTCAAGTATACAAAGGAGAAATATCAGAGGGAATACAATGATTTCATTAAAACATATAAATATTAATGACAAAATGAATATATTGTTATAGGAATTCATTATTCTAAAAAAGGCCATTTAATATGCTTCCCTTTGAGTATGTTATTATTGGTAAGCTGGGCAACTAGTGAGATGCTTGGATAGTTCTGCAGAGACCAGAACTGGATGAAAATGGAGCACCAAGGAGTGGGATGGGCAAAGAAAGAAAGGCAGAGGTCTTTGGTTTCCAGTTTTAAACATCTGTCTAGAATCCACACTCTTTTCCCATATTTAAAAAAATCAATTATGGATCCCCTTTATGTCTCATCTCTGAGTTTTAGTTTGGAATTCTCAGGAGAAAGACTGCCCTGCAGCTGCACAACCAAGTAAGCACTGGTCCGGTGACCAGCTTAACTCCATTCTTAGCACAGCCACTGATTCTTCATTGCACCACTAAATCTGGCTTTCCTCATTCTGTCGCTCAATGCATGTTCTTTTCTCCAGGGCTGTGTGTTCCAGGTCAAGCCTGGAAAAGGAATGAGCAGAACTACTCTGAGGGTCAGAAAAGTGGAATTCTCTACAGGCCACAAAGGGCAAGAAACAGCATAATTCTTGGAGGATTTATATGATTTTGATTTCTGTGTCAATGTGGCAACTCACTTCCTTTAGAACTATTAAAAAACAAAACAAAAAAAAAACCTCACTGCCATAGAGTAAATTCTGACTCATAGCAACCCCTATTGGCTTTCCAAGGCAGTAAATCTTTGCAGAAGTAGATTGCCTGGTCTTCCATTCATGGAGTGGCTGGTGGGTTTGAACGGCCAACTTTCTGCCTTGGGCATTATGCCACCAGAGCTCCTTAGAACTATAGCTTTTTAAACTTTTTGGCCTATCTGCAAGGGTTACACTAGTTGAAGCTCATTACTCTTGTCCCTCATGAATCCCAAGTCTGTGACTCTTCATCCAATGACCTGTGACAATTTCATCTTAATAAAATTATCTTAAGTGACTTTTCCCAAGTTCAATTGCAAATAATGACTAAAAACACAATTATTTTACCTAATATCATGCCTAAAATGAGTATTTGAGGGACAGTGAGAATAATGAATCAACACTATTATTAGCACACTTTCTAAGTCGAAATAGTTATTTAACCCATTGTTCTCCTTCTATTCGTACAGCATTGTTTTTTTTTTTTTTTTTCTGTTAGTTGCCACTGACTTGAGCTCTGAATCATGGTGATTTTATTCATAACAGAATCATACATTGCCTGGTCCTGCACCATCTTCACAATCATTGGTATATTTGAGCCCATTCTTGCATTCATCATGTCAATCCATCTCATGGACGTTTCCCTCATTTTCACTGATCCTCCACTTTACTGAACATGGTATCCTTTTCTAGTGGTTGGTCTTTCCTGATAATGTATCCACAGAAAGCCAGAAAAAGCCTTGCCACCCTCACTTTCTGGAGCATTCTGGCTAGAGCACACTAACCCCTCTGTAATACCTCTGTATTCATTTCTAAGGCACTGCTAATTTATTTCCTAGCATCTGACATTGTGTAGATCCAGGGATATTTTTCTCAGTGTCAACTCACATGTTTTGCTCCCTATATTGCTATTCCAATTCTCTACTATGCTCTATCTTTCTATGTGACACATGACAAATAATTTCTATGTGTTCTTCTCACAGACGCTTTCACCTCCTTGTTATTTAGGCTGTAGATGAGAGGATTCAGCATGGGAGTGACAACACTGTACTGTACAGAGAAGATCAGCTCCAGGGAAGAGCCTGAGGTTGGCATGAGATAGCGTAGAAAACCTGAGCCATAGAACAAGCTCACTGCAGTGAGGTGGGAGGAGCAGGTGGAGAAGGCCTTGCTTCTGCCTGAAGTGGACCTGATTTTCAGGATGGTTGATACAATGTGAACATAAGAGAGGAAGATTGGGAGGGAGGTTCCAAGCCCATGCAGCAGAGTGGAGCAGACCAGGACTATGAGGTTGGTAGAGATGTTTGAGCAGGATAGAGGGAAGAGAGAGGGCAGTTCACAGCTATAGTGGCTAATGGTATGGTTCTCACAGAAGTCCAAGTTCACAGCTAAGAGGATATTGATGAGTGCATTCAAAAAGCCCAAGCCCCATGATCCCCACACAAGAAGCACACACAGCTGTTTACTCATCACCTGGCCATAGAGCAGAGGACTGCAGATAGCAGCATAGCGGTCATAGGCCATTACCATAAGCAGAAAGCCCTCAGTCCCTGCAGTGATAAAAACAAAGAAGGCTTGAACTAAGCAGCCCTCTACTGAGATGGTTTTGGTCTCAGAGAGCAGGTTCTCCAGCATCTTGGGCACAATGACTGTAGATAAACAAAGATCCAGGAATGATAGATTACTCAAGAAAAAGTACATGGGTGTGTGGAGGTGAAAATCAGTCCTGATCAGTACAAGCATCATGAGGTTCCCCATCAGCGTCAGGAGGTAAATTACCAGGAAGAGCACAAATAGCACAGGCTGGATGTGGGGGTCAGTGGACAGCCCAAGGAGGGTGAACTCAATGGTGGTACTGTGGTTCCTCAAAGCCATTTACAAAGGCCATTCCCTAGAAATAAGATGGAAAATCGTGACGGTGAAGTTTCTTCTATCATCCAACCTATTTCATATAACATTGGTTCTTTCAAAACAAAAAATATTCAGTAAAATACAGATATTACAAGTTTGCCATTTCAATCATTTTTAAGTACACTATGCAGAGATGTTAATTATATCCATCATGATGTGCTACCATCACCGTTATCCATTTCCAGATGTTTTTCATCACCCAAAACAGAAAATCAATACCCCTTCAGTAATATTTTATTCCTTATCCTCTTCCACCTCTGCTACTGCCCCCCAATAATCTACTTTGGTCTCTATGCATTTGCCTGTTCTAGGTAATATAAGTGGGACCATATAATCTTTGTCTTTTAGTGTCTGACTTATTTCACTCAGAATTATGTTTTCAAGGTCATAGCATGCATCAGGACTTCATTTCCCTCTACAGCTGTATGTATATATCACATTTTGCTTACCCATTACTCTTTTTCTGGAGACTTGGGTTGTAAATAATGCTGCAATGAACATTGGTGTACACATATTTGTTTGGGCCCCTGCTTTCATGTCTGTTGGGTATATATGTATATGAAAGATCATGTAGTAATTCTATGTTTAACTTCTTGAAGAAACTCATTTGCTTGAGAATGTTTTGCAGTTATCACAAGATGGTTACAGACAATACCAGAACCCCAACCTTTAAGTTATATCAGATAACATATACAATAAGCAAAGAAATCTGTTGAGCCAGTTTCTCCTTTATACAGCAAAGGGGGGGAAGGGGAACTGGATATAGACCTACCTTTTTTCCCCCTGCTCTGGACTGGGGGCAAACTGCCTCTCTGGGTTTGCCTGGACTTGTCTTCGAGTCGGACCTGACTCATAGTGACCCCTCCTTGGGTTTCCAAGGCAGTATCACTATGGAAGTAGATTGCCCGACCTTCCTTCCGAAGAGTGGCTGGTGGGTTTGAACCGCCAGGTTTCTGGTTAGCAGTGAAGTGCCTTAGGCACTATGCTACCAGAGCTGTAAGCAAGGCCTTATTTGCTGAAGTAACATAGAGTACTCGAATGGAAGCTGAATTCATGTCAAGACACAAAATGAAGTTAGGGCCCACACTGTAGACCACAATGTACCACAAACAAAATGCTTTAGAATTTAAGCTCTTGTATAGTAGAATGACTTCCTGTCCCCCACCTTACCCACCTGGAAAATATCTACTTTTGTTTCAATACTCACCTCAGTTAAACCCTTCCTGACCTTCTTTGTCCCCATCTCTGAAAGATTATATAAGTCTTTTCTTTCTATTTCCTATGAATCTAGCACTTATTTTTATTATTGCATTTATAACATTTTATTGTACCTAGCTGGTCACATGTCTCTGTGTTACACTAGAAATTTAAATATTGTATTAGAAAGAAAAAAATCTCCTGTGAGTTTAGATAATTTCTCTTATATATACCTAATGAATGTACTGCAACTCAACATTTCATTCAGAAAATCTTTAAGAATATGGCAAAATGAGGACTTTAGGTTAATATCTGTATCATTGCACAACGAGGAGACCAACTGAGATAAATATGTTCTTTGAGGAGCACTTTTCATGAATATATTTTAGTTGTGCCTGCAAGAGACAGCAACATTATTTTTGTATTGCTGAAGTACTTTGAGAGCAATGCCCCAGTAACAGCATAAACAAAACACAAAGGCCAGCTTGTTTCAATATCTAAATGGAGGATTGTTGGTGAAGAGTTGTGCCAGCCAGTACAGAGTGGAATAGTGTTTTATTTCTCTCCACATAGATGAATTGCTGAATTGCCTGAGTTCCTACTGTTTTAAGCCTGCTTGAATGGCTAGTGAGAAAATATATAATTTAAATGAAACTGAACTCATAATGTTGTCATTAAAAATATGCTCACCTGTTATTTTACCCACATGGTATATTACCACATTTTAAAATCTTTTATTTATTAAATATTTCACTTTACAGTAAATCATATCAATGTTAAAATAGGAATGATCCGTTTGCTAATGTGTTACATCTTTAAAACATAGTTGTTTCAAGTGAAATAAAGTAACTTTTACCTACTTAATAAAGCCATTATTTGAACATTGTCACTGGGAGATCAGCATACCTCTCTTGAGTACCACTGTGAAAAATCTCTCTATAGGATAAAAACTAAAAGAAAGCATTGTTGTTGTTATGTGCCGTCGAGTCGGCCCCGACTCATAGCGACCCCTCCTTGGGTTTCCGAGGCAGTTATCACTACGGAAGTAGGATTGCCCAACCTTCCTTCCGAGGAGTGGCTGGTGGGTTTGAACCACCAGCCGTCTGGTTAGCAGGCAAGTGTCTTAACCACTATGCTACCAGAGCTCCCAAAAGAAAGCATAGCTCCTTTAATCAAGGGGCTCTGAACACATAGGGAAAAATGATTACATGTACAGAGCATAATAACACAGAAGGATGCAAGAAAATGACTGACAATGGCTATGGGATGAGCAAAGGGAATAATTGCTTCTAGTTCTTCCCTTTGGGTGGGAATGACTGGAGAAGGCTTTAAAAAAAAATGGAACTTGAACAATGATTCTCCCAATTGAGGTGGGAAGAATTAGAAGAGTGGAATTGAATTAGATCATGGAGGACCTTGAATACCAAGAAAGAGAATTTGATTTTTATTTTGTAGAAATAAAGGAATTAATAAAGATTTTAAACAAAATTTATTACTTTTCTGGTGGAAATTAGGTCTTGTATTTTTAAGATTAGCTCTTATAGTGATAGGATTTTTTTATGTTATTCAAATTTTAGAAATAAAAGGATCCAGAATAGGACAAATGTTACAGTTATTTATCAATCCATAAACATTTATTTAACACTAATTAATGTCCTCCTTTATGCTACATGCTATGGAATAAACAGAAACAGTAAAACATAATGCCAGCTTGTAGGGTGTGTGTAGAACAATGGTTAACAATTCTCAGCATTCGTGTATGGCAAACAACATGCTAAGTTGTTTTCAAGTTCTTTCATTTAACCAATTATATCAATATGCCTATGAGATAAATATTAATATAGTTATTATATTTCCCATTTGACTTATGAATAAACTGAATTTATAGCCACTAAATGTCAGACCCAAGAGCCATTTCTAGTCTAGGGGACATGAAACTTTGTGTATTTAACCACCAAAATATACATTTCTCTTCTTTAAAAAAAAAAAATGAATAATAATAATTTAATTATGGTCAATCACCAGTGAGCAAGATAAATTTACTTTTTGTAATATCTGGAGTCACTGGTTGGTGCAAATCTTTAACATACTCAGCTGCTAACCAAAAGGTTGGCAGTTCAAGTCCATACAAAGTTATCTCAGAAGAACTGTCTGGTGATCTACTCCTGAAAAGTCAACCATTGAACCCCTATGAAGCACAGTTCTACTCTGACATGTAAGATATCAACATGAGTCGAAGTCATGGTTTAACGGGTTCTGAATACTCACCAGGAAAAATAAACAATAAATAAACCAAAAATATAGCCTTTTAAGGCCTCCCATTTTGTTGTGCAAAAAGTCTCATAGCTTAAACAATGAGAATAGAGAAATAGTTTAGATTGTGATTGCCAGCTATATGAACAGTTAAAGCAGTCATGGAGTCTTCAAAACATAAGACATTCACCTTCACACCAGATTTTAACAAACATGACTCAAACTATTAGAATAGTGCTACTCAAAGTATATACTCAGATCACCAACATCAGCATCACAGAGAAGCTTACTAGCAGTATATAAGGTCACTCATGAACTTATATATATATATATATATATATATATATATATATATATATATATATATATCGAAGTCTCTAAGAGTGGGGTGGGGCCAGAAGCTCTGGTAGCATAGTACCTAAGGCACTTGACTGCTAACCAGAAAGCTGCCATTCAAATCCACCAGCCACTCCTCAGAAGGAAGGTTGGGCAATCTACTTTTGTAGTGATACCATCTCAGAAACCCAAGGAGGGGTCGCTATGAGTTGGGTCCAATTCAACAGCAAATAACAACAAGGGTCATGCTAGTTGAAGTTCATTATCTTGTCTTTCATGAGTCCGAGTCTCTATCTCTTCATTCAACAATGTAGGATCTTTTCTTCTCCAAAAAGTTATGTCCACAGTGTTTTCTAGGCGTCATTTTCCAATCCCACTGTTTCAGATCTCTTTTAATAACACTATTAATCAACAAATAATTTTTCAGATCCCAATCTAGTCCAGGGTTTATGTTGGACACTATAGAGAATAAGGAATAAAGTATGGACTTTTGTATTAAAAGTCACACTTCAGTGAGAAAACATATACAAAGACAAGCAATTAGAAAACACTGATGCATGCAGTGAGAGTTCTAAAGGTGATTTGAGGGGGGATCAATAATGACTTAATGTTGAGGTGTTTGAGCAAAGATTTTAAGAAACTGTACGCGTTCTCTAAAAATTAGAAATGGGATAATTCTGAATACCTGGTTCCTAGAGTTTGAATTAGAATTGAATATTGGAGTCACTCATTGTAAGTTAAGCATTGTACTATTTCATATCCCAGTTCCAAAACAAAAGTATCTTATGAGCTTCTACAAGTGACATAACTGCTCTATGCCTAGTTTTCTTGCCCAGAAGATGAGGTAATAATAGTACTGATCTTATAATGTTTTTATTTTTTGAGGATAAAATATAATACATTAAGTTTCTTCAAATATATCTGCACAAAAGTGCTCAATTATCAACATCATCATTATCACCATCATTATCAATCCTTGAAGTTATGATTGTAGACAGAAGTTAGATAATAAATCTTCATTTAGAGTGATATATTATCAGGAAATAAAGTTGTTAATGCTACAATTACTGTTATTCTTGTTGTGTCAAGAGAGGCTTAAGAAAATCACCTAGAGATAATTAAAGTAGCTGAAGATTGACATTTTGAAATCACTTTGAAGTGTTTCTTTTCCAAAGCTA